AAAGAAGCTTATACAATAAAAGTTGCATTGTTCTTTGTAAAAAGTAGTTTCTTGCCAACATAATTTGGTTAATTTCCCCTATTTGCCATGGATATACAACATGATTATTTTATGCAGAAATGACAGCCATTATAATGCTTTTCCCAATATGCGAATTTTATGATATCCAATGAACTTCTGGAAACCAATTTTTATTTTTAAAGGTGTTAAATGAAAAAAAAATTAAATTTAATATCTTCTGTTTTCACCAAAAAGGAGCCTAAGTGCTTTCTACTGTTATAGATGGAAATAATGTAAGATTTTTAACTAATCTGGATCTACTTTCAAACAATGAAAGGGAAGAAAAAAATCAGTTGATTCAATGAGAGCCCAGTCATAGAGTACGATGAAAGTGTCTAGTGCTTGACTATCAAAACTGATACCCCAAATGGTTATTTAAAATGTCTGCAAAAAACATGTCATGTATCATGCAATTTTGTTAAAAAAAATGGTACTTAGGTCATTCTAGTACATTGATGCATTGGTCACTGGAGTAGCCTGAAACATCCCCCAATACATGAAAATCAGGCTCTACTTCTTGGTCAAATTCCTAAATGGACATTTAGAACAGAGATGAAGAGAATTGCTAAGAGGCATCACAGGGATTAAATTTGACCCAATCTAGATCAGAGGGGTCAAATGTGACCCTCAGGCTGCACTGTAGCTCAGTAATATGAACCAGATTAAAATATAATTGGAAAATATAAAGCAAAATGAGTAAAAAGACAATTGATCAGAGAGTGTTGATATGTGGTTTCCTAAGTCAATATGTAGCCCACAGGGATCCTCATATATGGTTTAGTGACTCCTGTTTCTATTTGAGTTTGATACCACCATTCTAGATGACAGTACTGAAACAAATTCTCATTATCTTCACTATGCTATATAAGAATCAATTTGATTCTCACCCTTCAACATCACAGGAGGACACATTTTATAGCCACTGGAATAGAAACTCTTTGTTGGAATAAGGTTTGATGAAAAGAGGCTATTTCCCATTCCCCAAAGCCCACAGAGAACTTTGATCAATAGGTCCTTGACCTTGGCTCAAAGTGTGTAGGAAATGGCAAAGGGAAGAACTCAGGAGGCTAAGAATATTCATTTTAATTGAAACATATAATTTCAGAACTAGAAGGAAACTTGGTCTCTTATTACTGGAGGTTTTAATGCAAGGGTTCCTCACCTGTATTTTGTCATGGACTCCTCTTTGGCAATCTGGTGATAACTATGGACCCCTTCTCAGAATAATATTTTAATGCCTAAAGTAAAATAAAGTGGGTTACCAAAAAATAGGTTGAAATGGTTAACAAATTAATTTTTAAAATGTTCAGAAATGTCAGGGGATCAGGAATCCCTTTCTTAATGGACTGCAAGCTCAATGTGAGTCAGCTGTGTGACATAGCAGGTAATAAAGTAGATGTAATATTAAGTTGAATAAAGAAAGTCATAGGGTCCAGGACCACAGAGTCATTAGCCCTGTTCTACTCGACCCTGGGCATATGACATCTAGAACAGTGTTGTCAGTCTTAAATAAAAAGGGGGCCATTAATCTCCACAAATAGATCCCTACAGGCTGCATATTCATTTGACTTTAAAGTATAATGTTATCTTGTATTTTGTTTTGTTATATATTTCCCAATTGCACTTTAATCTGGTTTGGGCAGCAGTTGGGTGTGTTGTGGGTCAAATGGAACCTACATGCAGTGTGTTTGACACCTCTAAATTAGAGCGTTGTGTTCAACTTTGGGTTCCACATTATAGGAAAGACATTAATAAGCATCCAAAGGAGTACAAACAGGGTGGTGGACAATGAGTTCACGTCATTGAAGGTAATTGGCATTCTCTTTCTTCCCCTCCTCCTCCACCAAACCCTGGAAAATTAAAGTTGTAGGGAGACATCTTCAAGTATTTAGAGGGCTATCAAGTGGGTGAGGCATTATTATTTTGTTTAGCCACAATCTACAGAACAGGAATCAACTGGTAAAAGGTGCAAAGAAACAAATTTGGGCTTGATGTATGCATAGAACTTATTAACCATTATAGAAAATTAAAGTGTAATGGACCGCTTCAGAGAGTAATGGGCTGTCGCTTATAAGAGGCCCTCAAGTTAGGGTTAAATGATATCTTGTCCATTGCTCAACTATAGGTCAAGATCAGTAGACTCTGTTGTGTCTTCCAGGTCTGAGATTCTGTTCCTATTTCATCCTGGAGAAGTAATTCAGTAACTACTTATGTTCATCCTTGCAAATTCTTTAAGGGATAGGACTCTTTTTCTTGTTTCTTTTCCATTGGTAGCACTAAGCATGGTAGATATTCCTATATGTGTTTAATAAATATTTGCTAACATATTTTGTTAGGGAAGTATAATTATTTTCTTTTTGGAATGGCTAAAGTGAGTTGATAAATATTTCCCAAAAGATCCTACATCTAGGGGGCAGCTAGGTGGAGCAGTGGATAGAGCACTGGCCCTGAAGTCAGGAGGAGCTGAGTTCAAATCCTGCCTCAGACCAAACACTTGACACGTACGAGCTGTGTGACCTTGGGCAAGTCACTTAACCCCGATTGCCTCACTTAAAAGAAAAAAAAGATCCTACATCCATTAAAAATATAACTATGGATCTCCATTCCCATCCCCTGGTTCACATAACCTCTGATAGATCATGGTGACCAATGGTCTGGCAGGATATTCCAAAAGTAAGGGTAGATCATATGTCTGAGGTTTGCAGTTGCAGTTATTTTAGTCATAAATCTTTTAGTTAGGTCTCGAAACTAGCCCTTTATTTTTTCAGGAAGTCATGTGCATATGGTCAATGTAAAGCTATTTCCTCTCCTGATGAAGACAAATCTTAGTTTCACCTAGGTAGATTGGGTTTAAAAAGGAAAAAGAAAAGCATTATCAATGTGGATAATGATACAAGTTAATTAAGCCCCAAAGGGTCATATTTAGAACTAAATTGCCTATTTTGGCTGCTTCCCCACTGATCATGCTAAATAATTAATTACTTTATTTCTACTTTACTTTGTATATGTAGCCACTCAAGTCAGAACATCAAGAGTTCTACAAGTTTTGCCTACTTCCTTTTTTCTCTTCCTTTCCCTCTTCTTCCCCTTTCCTTTTCTTTTTCTCTCCCTTTCCCTTCCTCCTTCCCTTCCTTTTTTTTCTTTTCACAGAGCTCCATTTTACAAAGAATCCCAAAACTGTGAGTGGTCTGAAGGATGAACTACTCCAGTCCCTACCTGACCAGAACTCTCTTTGCAGTATCATCCTGGCAACATGACCATCCAGATGTCCCGATTAGAGTTTCAACCAATAGGGAACCCAGTAACTCCTGAGATAGCCCTCTCCACTTTGGGCTAGCTTGAATTATTTGAAATTCTGACCTAAAATCTGGCTCTGATATTTCAACTGAAATATAAACGCTTACAACCCGAAAAGTCATAGATGTGAGCAAAAAGCATAGCAGCAAAACAAGGCAGTAGAAAGAGCACTGAACCAAGATATTCTAAGCTCAGATCTGCCACTTTCCCTTTTAAGGACTCACTTTCTTCATCTTTAAAATGATAGGGTTGAATTAGGTGATGGCTCTCTTGTCTCATCTAGCATTGAAGCGCTATGATTCAACATGAATGTCTTTCTATTCCTCCTCCTCCTCCTCCTCCTCCTTCTCTTTCTTCTTCATGGACCTATGATTTCATGGGTCAGGTCACTTCCAGGTGAGGAAGTCTTCTCCCCCAAAGCTGTTCACCCATTGTTCTGCATATTCTTCAATGGACACGTAGAGAACTACCTACATCATGGGATTAAGTGACTTGCTCAGGGTCACACAGTCATACATGTAAGAGGCAAGAACTGAACCCATGTCTTCCTGATTCCGAGTCTTATATTGTAGTCACTGCACTGCTTCCTAGATTTCCCCATGACCGGTGGTAATTGAATAATAATTTAGAAAGCGTTTTATCGTATTGTTAAGGTCTGTAAAGCATTTCACAAGTATCATTACGTTTTATCCCCACAACACCCTGGGAATTATTCCCTAATTTCCAGATGAAAAAAACTGAGGCAGACAGATGTCAAATGACTTGCCCAAAGTGACACAGCTGGGCAGGAAGTGAATGCCAAGCTCAACACTAAACTATGCCATCTAGCAGCCTCCAATTTTTTATTTTATTTTATTACTCCCCAAATTAAAAGAGTTTACACACACACATACACACACACACACACACACACACACACACACACACACACACAGGGGCTAAGTCCACTGCATGCCAAGATACCTCATCAACTCAATCAAAGAGAGCATTAGTCATCCAGATTTTTCTCTCTTTTTGGATACATAAAGCCAATTATCTATGAAAATTCATTTTGAAAAACTTGAAATTCTCAGGCTCAGTTGCTCTAGGACACTTTGTCATAAATGCATATGGATTGGGTTAGATCAGACAGCAGATATGAACTCTCTTTAATACCATGGATCTCAACCTGTCCATGACTTCATAGCTTGGGCTAAGAGGTACAGAGGGGTTAAGTGACTTGTCCTGGGTCACCCAGCTAGGATATGCCTGAAGCAGAATTAAAACATATCTTTCTGACTCCAAGCCCAGCACTGTACCCCTAAGCCACTCTATCTCATAATATGTTCACCTAAAATCCCATCGCATTAGAGAGCATAATCAGGATGACAGACAGCCACACCCTAGACTTGCTCTGTGGATAGCAAGATGTAGACTCTGTTTGCCAGGCTAGTACTAATGCTGGTACTAATGAAAAGAGTGTTCTTTATTTTCATGTTGCCATCAAAGCCTATCCCAGAAAAGAATAATTATAGGGGAAAAAAAATCAGGCAATAAAACAAACTTTGAAATGGCATTAGTGTACAAAACTGACTATTTTATAATAAGCAAGTTACTGATCCGGACAGCATAATGTCTTAAAAAACTGGACTGTATTACAAAAGCATTTCTGTGAGTATCGATTTCAAATAGATTATTGCTAAAGGATAGTAAATGGCATGTTGGATTTTGGAAATTCTTTTGGCTACTTTACAAACATACATAAAATAGTGGAAAAGATGCATGCTCTAGAAACTTAGTACTTTTGTCATGCCTTTGGACTAAAAATAATGTGAAGACATTAGCAAATGGAGATTTGCAGCACAGCTTCCTGAAGCCTACAGTGTCTTTTCTTCTGTATTTGCGATGCCTTTGGAAGTCTTCCGGTTTTTCTCTTCTGATTTTGGGATCTCCAGCTTAGTCTGAGGAGGTGTGTACAGCTTCTGTCAACCAACATAGAAGGGAGATTTAGTCAAGTCAAGACAAATACCATTTCAGAAGCAAACATATTGGTGATGACTAGAACTTGGCATGAAAAATGCACTGGCAACCCAGGGACGCAGCAGTATATAAATTGCATATAAAAGGAATGTTTGATTAAAAAACAGTTTAATTTGCAATACAATCCACACAAAGAGTCTGTGTTTATGAAAAGAAGGTTCTTTCCAGCAATATTATGACTATAACTTAAAGTCAAGCAAGACAGCTCAAGTCCATGTGCAATAACGATGGGGCAATAAACAGCATTGTATTAATACAAACTTCTTGCAGTTAACTGCTGCTTTAAATACTTCCTCCTCCTCTCCACCAGTTGGAATATAAACTGCATGAGGAACAGAATTATTTGGTCTTGTTGTTCACCTCAGTGTATGGAATCCTGCCTTGAACACAGTAGGTCCTTAAGGAATGTTTTTGGAAATTGGATTTAATGTGCATGTATATTTCCATTAAAATGATAAGTGACTTTCACAATGATTATCTCAAAGTTTTACATGATATTTATGAGTTTTTTGACATTTCAAGAGATAATTAAATCTTTTTTTATCCCCATGCATAGCAAAAAGTAGTTACTAATGAATGTTTGTTAATTAAATGTGTTTTAATTGAAATCAATTTTATAAAATGGTTGATAAGGGAGACTCCTTTTTAAACAAAATATTCAGGAACTGATCCCATTCCGTTTGCTATCTATTCAGGACAGCACAGAGTTAAAAAAAAGAGGATTACCACTGAGGCAGCCCCAAAGTTGCCTTGTTGAGATTTAGTCTGAAAAGCTATCTAATACCATTGCTCAGGTGTGGGGATACATACAGAAGGGAAAAGCAGAACCAAGCCAACCGAGCTTTAGAAATGCTTTCAATTCCGCTCAAGGACAAGAATACCTGCAAGACAGGATCCACTTCTGTTGTCTTGTTCACATTGGTAGAGTTGTGATTCACTGCACAGGTCTTGCCACCCTATAAAAATAACCATTGAGAACATGTTATGAGAGTCATCATAAGAGAGCAGGGGTGAAGGAATGAACTCCCTGGGCTGTTCAAATCCTGAGAAAGTTCCACCAGCCTGCCTTTCCTGAAAAGGCCAAACCACAATCATAAATAGCAGAGACAACCATCACTAATGTGAAAGGACTCAGACAAAGAGATTAGATGGTGGGTTTAAATATTGATTATGGTATTCAGCTGCTGCAAAAGAGGGCAGTAGAGGAGAGATGCCTTCTCAGAATGAAAAAAAATAATTCTAAGTAAGAAATACCAAATAAAAGCATAGAAACCTTGGAGTGCTTGCCAGTATTGTTCCTGAGAATGGAACATTTCAATGGATTCTCTATCAGATGTCTCTCTTCCTCCCCCTCTTTCCCTTCCTTTTCCTTCCTCTCTTCCCTCTTCTTTATGTATAGTATATGCTATATATGCATACAGGCATACACACATATATTCTACAATCTGTAGTTATACATAGACCATAGAGCATACATATACGTATATAGTACCCTATATACTATGCTATTTTCCATATATTTGTGTGAATGTGTATATTCTCTCACATTCTCTGTTCTCCCACTTTTTCCCTCTTTGTGTATGTAAATATAGACACAGACACATACACACATGTATCTGTACATATATATAATATAAACTGTACTAAACGATATATATGTAAATATAATAGGTATGCTCCATAAATACTAGGCTGCCTCCCTAAATATTACATATACACAGGCACAAAAGAAGAAAAAAGAGTACAGTAAATATATATGTAAATATATATATATACACATATAAATAGTATACTAGATATTTACTGTACTCCTTTTTTCTTTTCTCATTATGTGCATGTATATACATATGTATACATATTATAAATATAGGTATATACGCATAGAAAAAGCAAGATAATATTATATATACACATACATATACATATATATATACATATATGTATATCATGTTGCCTCCCTAATACGTATCCACACCAACACATAATTCTATACTTAAATATTAGGGATGTGGGATTGTAGAATGGAATAGAAAACTTGTTCTAGAATCAGAAGATGTGAATTCAAATCCTACCTCTGACACCACCGTGGGACCTTCGGCAAGTAATTTAACCATTCTTAGCATCAGTTTCTTCATCTATAAAATAAGGAGACTGGATAAGATGGTCTGTAGAGTCCTTTGCAAATTTTGGTCTTGACCTTATGGGCCCTAGAGATAAACACGTGTGGGTGTATCTCTTGGGCTGGTAGGATCATAGAACATAATTTGCAAGGAACCCTACAGACCATCTTATCCAACCTCCTCATTTTAGTAATGAAGAAACTGGTGCTTAGAGTCTACTTAATTGACTTGCCTAAGGATGTATATATATGTGTGTATGATGTGTGAGTGCATATATAACAGGAGAAAGTCAAATGTAATTATCAATCTAGATATCTACCAGAAACTAGTAATTGCTTTTTCTTCAATCAACAGCTTTACTAAAATTTCTCTATCCTTTGCAAGACAGAACTTTGAAAACTAAGCCACAATCATTGGGCAATCAGAACAAATAAATCTTATTTATTAAACTTTATTGTTAATCAAAATGAAAGCATTTGTAGCCAAAGAAAGCATGCTACATGAACTATTCGAAAGTTTTTATCCTTTTCTTCTACTGTACTCTTTGGAATAATAAAATAAGCTAATGTGGGATATTATAATGTTCTACATGGATATGAAATTTAGGTTTGTTGCTGTCCCTCTTCCTGCCCCATCCACCCACCCCAGTCATTCTGCCAATGACTATCAAGACAAGAATCTGAGCCCATTAGCCACATGTCTGACACTGAGCAACTCTTTTCTCTGGGTCAGTTTCCCTGTTGTAACATGATGTGGTGAAGCTAGATGACATCTAAGTGTCTATCAATTCTAAAATCCTATGATTAAGCAATGTGAAAGAACCAGAGGCAGAGTAGTGAACGGTTCTGAGCTTCACATATCACGTGATATAAGACAAGGCCATATATATACATAAGTAAAATAAAGCCTGCAGTCCCATGATGATTTCAAACTTCATGGTCTCCTTGAACCCCTACACAGGTAGGAAAAGAGGACTGTATGTTTTGGACAGCTCTAAGTTCATTGGTCAGTTGCAACTATATTTTCCTTTTTGTAGACCTAATTTACCATTTTTTTCCCTTTTACTCTTAGTAAGGATAAGCACACATATATGCATGTATACAGAGATACACACACCATTAAAATAAGCTCTCCACATAATGGCTGCTTCCATTAGTACAAAGATAAATTCTAAAACAAAATCTATTCATCATGAGAATATCATCCTTCCTTAGGCTTCTCGTAGGGATTTGCCTGTGACTTTCTTTTGTATTTATCAGCATTCTCTTCTGTAAAAATAAGTAAATTGCACTAGATGATGTTTCTTGCCCCTTTGGGCTCTAAATCTATGATCCTTAAACTTGCTCTTGGGGACGCTCTATCTCTGTACTTGCCCTTCTTTTGTCTTTTTCATGGTTTGCCCTTTGGCATAGCCATCTTCAAATCACAAACCCTAGAACAATGCCTTAAATATAGTAGTGTCTGACTATAAGTTAGTTAATGTGAATTACCCTGAAAAGTCAAGCCTTGTTAATTAAATTTCAATATTAATAAAAAAAATAAAACCCCAAATAGCCTTCTTCCTCCTACTATGCCTCATGGTAAAAACCTTTAAACTTCTTTTCCCTCTGTGTTTCAGGAAGAAGCTTAATGAGATTGCATTCATAAAACCCTTTGAACTTCTCTGGAAGGCAATGCTAGATAAGGACAAAGTAATTATAACTTGTAAGCATCTTGTCTTAATAAGCATCTTATCAACCTTGTAGCTATTGTTGGAGCAAACTTTCCTTTTGTATGAAAACAATAGACCCATGAAATCTGTATGGTTTATTACCTACTTTATAGAGTCCCTGATTAGAGAATATTCCAGCATTCTAAGCAAGCTTGGTGAAAAAAGATGACCCCTGAAAATGCCATAGGAGATTGTGTAAACCCAAGGCTGCCTCAAACACGCCCTCAGAGGGATTGGGCGGAGACTCAATTCACTTTGTCAGATACAAAGCCTCTGCTTTATCACAACCACTCTGCTGGGACAGACTTGCTTTTCTGGCAATTAACTCCTAACCTGCCAAGGTGAGAACCAAGTATAGAAACAATATGCATGATGATTCTGATTGTAGGGGAGAGGGGGACATATAGCCACTTCAGAACTACTCTGTCCAGACTGCTGAGAGCTCCCTTAAATTATTGCTGGCTTCACTACTAATCCAAATGAAATCAGAGGCTATAGCATTATAACAAGTCTGGCATAGAACAAAAATACTAACTATGCTATTTTCTCCTTAAATATCCTAATTCATGATCTAGAATAAATATCAGAAAGGACATTAAAATTATTTGGAAAGCAACTTTACTTGGTTTCTTTGGCTCCTAAGTTTCAATGGATTCTCCACATCTCAAGGGGCCTTTGTGAAGTATAAGAAAGGAACCACCCATGCCCTATTCTATATTCAGGGATACTAGAAGCTATTCTTCCTACTCACTGACAGAATGGAATTGCTTAATTAAAAAATATGTAAACTCTCTCCAGCATATTAGTATTTTCTACATTGTTGACAATTAAAAATAATGAAAAGCAGAAAACATTGTAACTAAGAAGGAAATATGTAGAGATAATAGCTATGAAAATACCACAAATAGTGGAAGGAAGAGATGCATGAAGAGGGTGGGAGAGGGAGAGGGGAAGGGGAAGGAAGAGGGGGAGAGGAAGGAAGACTGGAAGAACAAAGAGAGACAGAGAGGAAAATGGAGAGGAAGAAAAGAGGAAGAAGGAAAAGGAGAAGCTGGTGGAGGGCAAAAGGCATAGAGGGAACACATGGGGTATGGGAATGGGCATACAAAGGTTTAACTCATATAATTTTATTCTTTTACCCTGATAATTTTTTTCAAAGGAGAACAATTTCTAGAATTATAAATATACATACACGTGCACATAAGTGAATGTATCTATATAGTATGAGGTGGGAAATAAACTGCAAAACCAGGTGGATAACTTTTTTTTGTTAGTTTTATTTTAATGCCATTATTTAATATACCGGACAATGGAAAGTAAATGTATAGTAAGAGATTAGCTAGCTGAAATTTGAAGAGAAGGAAGAATACAGCCTATATAAAATCCCAAATCTCAGAAACCATGAAAGAGCACAGACGTGTCATAAAAATAACAATATTGAAGTATGTGTTATAAAGTCTTAAGAAAAAAACCACATAGAATTTGGTAAACTAAATAAATTTAATATTTCACTAAATACTTGATGTAATTTTAGAAGCATTCCTGAAATTTATTGGAATGACACTCATAAACATCATAACACAAAGGCTTATTTTTTCCACTTAATAGTATTTTATTTTTCCAATTAGATGTAAAGATAGTTTTGAACATTTATTTTTATAAGATTTTGAGTTTGAAATTTTTCCTTTCCGTCCATTCCTTGCTCCTTCCCAAGAAAGCAAGCAATCTAATAAAGGCTATGCATGCAAAATCATGTTAAACATATTTCCACATTAGTCAGGTTATTAAAAAATAATCAGAACAAAAGAGAAAAACCATGAAAAATAAAAAAAAAACACAACAAAAAAAGTAAAAATAGTATGCTTTGATCTGCATTCAGTATCCATAGTTCTTTCTCTGGATGTGGATAGCATTTTCCATCATGAATCTTTGGGAATTGTCTTGGATCATTGTATTGCTGAGAAGAGCTAAGTCTGTCATAGCTGATTATGGCACAATATTGCTATTACTGTGTGCAATGTTCTCCTGGTTCTGCTCACTTCACTCAGCATCAGTTCATGTAAGTCTTCCCAGGATTTTTTTCTGAAATCCACCTGCTCATCATTTCTTGAAGCACAATAGTATT